AGGTGCCTGTGTTCTCTATAGTGTGACCCACAGGTGCCTGTGTTCTCTATAGTGTAACCCATAGGTGCCTGTGTTCTCTATAGTGTAACCCATAGCCTTATGGGGTGGGGGACCATCAGGGGAGGAAAGCAGAAAGAAGGGTCAAGAGGATTTTTGTTGGGAAAGGTTTTCCCAGTCCTGAGTGGGGAGAAAAAGACTGAAGCTCTATTGCTAGTTCCCAAGGATGAGGTAATGGAACCCAGTTAAAGGCTGTTTTCTTATTTTAACATCTGTGTCAGCTAGAGCGTAACAACTCTCAAACTGAATCCACTAGAAGGATACGTGCAAGTTTTATGGTACTGGGCAGACAACTAAGAAAGTCATCCCATTAAATTAATAACTCCAGTCACCAGCAGAGTCCAGACGAGAGCTAGTGGGCCCTGCGAATGGCCAGTCTGGGCCGGATGGACGGCAGGACAGACGACAGGCTCCCTGCCAGCCGGTGGGGGGCGGCTCCGGGGAGACGGAGACGAGGCCCCGCGCAGTTCAGTTCCCCCGGCTCTGGGAATTCTGAGCCGCCCACCGCCGCTGCCTCCATCTCTTCATTATCATCAAATAATGTTCCTCAGGTTTACCCCTGCGTGGGTCCTGTCCTCCTCGATGCTGCTCGGGTTTCCTTCCTCGCTTCCCTCTCTTCCTGGCTTGCTCTCCACCTGCTGATTTTTCGCTCTGGCTGACAACGGGCGCATCGCCCCGCCCCGACTGTCACCGGGTTTAGCGTTTTCAGGAATGACGTCCCGTCGCAGAGGAGACGCGGGCTGGCGTCGCACTTGCTGGACAGGGGAATTCGTCACCCGGCAAAGCGCACCCCAGCCGTGCCCCGAGAACAGCAAACGATACGGGAGGGAATTCACAGCTGCCTGTGGAATGGGACAGGGACAGAGGGAGAAGGGGGGCGACAGGGAAGGACCGGGACCGTCCTGCTCCGTGTGCACGGTCACAACCTTCCTTGGAGGAAAAACACGTATTAAGACCCAACCGAGGAAATTCTGGACAGCGCGGCCCACAGGGAGGAGCTCCCCACTCCACTCACCTCGTCCAGGCATCTCTCATATTGCTCCCTTTGGTTCTCATTTTCCAAAGCCAGTGCCGAGTTCTCTGCCTGCAGCAAGGTACAAAAACAATACAAATCGATCAACGCAGCGCTGTATGATGTGACAACACAGTCAGTACAGTTACTGAGCACACCTCCTCAGGATCCAAGGCAACCTTTGAGAAGAGCCTCTGACAAGTTCGCTTTAAGTACTATTATAAATATCTCAGGGATGGCTTCTGTCTTACCCTGTTTCACAGAAATACATTACTACCGAAAGGAACGAGGGACTTGATATTCTGGACAGGTAGGAATCAGATCACGGCCTGAAGTGAGAGTGTTCTATAAAAAGATTACGACGTTTATTTCGTTCCATGAAAATGTAATTGTAGGAATGTCTTAAGCCACTTCCTTAAGACCTGTCACAGCTTCACCGCGCAGGATTTGTGTAGGGCACGGAGAAGAACCTCAGGCAGACGCACAGAAACACAATTCCGAATGCAAACTATGCATGCTGTTTTTCTGGTTAATCGATATTTGAACATAAGAATATAATGAGAAATTTAAGAATTAGATTATACTTAAGAGTCCTTCTCCCTGTCTCTCTCACTTCAGAATAACGGCTTTTCTGCTCCTCGGAGCCACGTGGCTATCTGAATGCTATATTGATTACTGTAAGGTACCAGGTTAAATATGGTTCCTAGGTTGCTATGGGGAATAATAAGGGAAAAAATAATCATTATAAGCATGTTAGTTTCCAGAGGAGCATGACGGGGTGGCATAGGAGCCTCTGCATCCAGTGACCCGGGTCCACTCCCGTCACTGCTGGCCCCAGCCTGAATTCCGAATTGTGCCAGTTAACCCTTCCCATGGTTGGGACAGTGACCACTCGCCCCTCCCCAAAGCAAGTGTGGCTCTGCCAACCCCTTCCCTGCAACCTCCTGGACATTTCGGGGGGCAGGGAAATGTAGCGCTCTGAAACAATTCTTTCAAAATTATGGTTTAATTTTTAGGTGGTACATAGATCAACAATTTTCCTTTATAGTTTCTTCCTACCAATTATTTAAAAAAAATTGTATTTGGAGATAATTTAAAAGGTACAAATGATCTGCAAGAATACTATGAAGTGCTACCCCCCCCCGGGTCACCAGCTGTCACCTTGTGCTACATGTGCTAGCTCACTCTCGTTCCGTCAGGTTTCCCTGCAACTGGAGGGTACATTACAGACATGCTGCTCTTTACCTTAAATACCCATGTGCTTCCTAATGACAAAGACACTCTCCTATATCACCACAGCTTAGTTTCCAAATTCAGGAAATACAACATTAACACGGTGTCACAATCAAATCTATAATCCTCATTTCAATTTCATCCATTGTCCCAGAAATGTCATTATAGCCCATTTCTTCCTGTTCAGAGTCCTATCCAGGGTCATGCATTGCATCTACGTGTCATTCACCCAGGATCCTTTAATCTGGAACAGTTCCTTTGTCTTTCATGCTATCAACTCACCCTTCCTTCTCCCTTTTTGCCTTCACAACCACATTTCCAAACAGCACCTNCCTGTTCAGAGTCCTATCCAGGGTCATGCATTGCATCTACGTGTCATTCACCCAGGATCCTTTAATCTGGAACAGTTCCTTTGTCTTTCATGCTATCAACTCACCCTTCCCTCCCTTCCTTCTCCCTTTTTGCCTTCACAACCACATTTCCAAACAGCACCTCCCTTTTTCTCTTTGCTCCCCAAACACCCCCTCCCTGACCCAGCCACCTCAGCCCCGAACACTTGCGAGCCATGCCCAGAGCCACCCTGGGAACCGGCCGTCTCCACCTGTGGTGAGGACTGAGCACGTGCTGTGGGACCCTCTCCTCCGGGACTGCGTTCCCCACACCCTCTGCTGCCACCCTCCAGGACGTGCGAGCTCATAGCCACAGTTCTGTGAGTATCTGGTATTTATTTTTCTACCTACAGGGTTTTGAAGTTGTACTGCTTTCTGGGAACACAGGAGGTGTGGTTATGCGTGGTTTTGTGTTCCTGATGATTTGAATGTGTGGCTTTTTGTGTGTGTTTTTTTTGGGGGGGAGTTTTTTTGGCAGATGTATCATAAGTTTCAGATTTAGGCCAGTTTGCAGCTCAGCAGTGAAACTCGGGTGAGGTGACTGAACTAAGACGGGACACGAGAGCTGAGGCAACGTGCTGAGGGATCTGTTTGGTTGTGTTCTTGCCCTAGATCCTCTGGGCCTTACTCATAGTTTGAGGACCAGGATTTAAACTTGTTTCTTCTTCAGGTTTCAGTTCTAATCCTGGGCTTTGATCTCGTCCCTCTGGGCTCAAATCCCTGTTTCAGCAGCACCCCTGACATTTCTGTCCCTGAGGTGAGACTTTGCCATGTTTTTCCATTCCCCTCAAGGACGGCCACCGGCCACACAGCCCGATGCCTCTGAACCTTTAAAGGGTTGGTTATGCACAGACCGCTGTTTCTCTTCACCCCCACCTCTGGCTTTATTTTAAAAAGCTAGACCAAAAGCTTTTCTGGCCCGTTGCTGTTTCCTTCAGGACTGCTCCGGCTGTCACACTGAAGCTGCCCTGCACCCGCGGCTGCTATAGCCTCTGCTTTCCTTACTCTCCAGGCGGCGGGCTGGGCCCAGGTTTGTTTCCTTCCACTGCCGTTTACCTCGCAGTACCGGCTCGTGCAACCTTCAGGACCTCATTCGGCCTTGCTGGCTTTACAGTTCCTCAGCTGATGGACAAAGGAAACAACCTCGCCAATCTACAAGGTCACTTCCAGTTCAAATATTCTGACACCGCGATACCAGGGAAAGCGCTGGAATTCCGATTCTATAAACCTTCTGCTTTCTGAAGAGAAATGTAGCTTTTGGAAGTCTGCTTGTTTTAGGAAGGCGACGGCATGAAGGGTAATGGGAGGGGAAAAAGGAGAGAATGGCAATGCAGGTTTACATTGTTTTCACTTTAAATGTCTTGGGGAAAATAGGCAAGGAAATAAAGCTGAAAATGAGAATTAACATGAGATGTCTGTATCTTGCTCCTACCCACAATATCACATCGCAATAACACTACCTTCGATCGGCTCGGATAATTACCGTCATTACACCGTTTACGTTGCTTGCCTCACATTTACAGCTCTGACAATCTATTACAGGCAAGTAAATTAAATACCTAAAGGGTGCTGGTGAAGACACAATAGTCACATTTACGGCTAATGTGCTCAGTTACAGAGACCAATCTAATTGATATAATCCTACACATCCTAGGGGACAAGGGAGATATTAACAATTATGCCAGTGAAGTTAAAATAATCTTGAATTCGTGATTTTCTTTAATCCATTTGCATTTATTAGAAATTCAGGATTAACCTGCTACCGGCATGAGACAACAGGGGGGGAAAGCAAGAAATGAAACCCCTTAATTAAATGTGATTTAAAGAGACAGTGAACATTTGTATGGTAGGAATGGGACAGGATAAGGCAGGGAGGGACAGAGAAAATGCAGGTGTCACTACTGAGAGTTATGGAAATGACAACACAGGTCTTCTCCAGCGTGATTAAGGATGTTATTAAACCAGCACGCCCAGGGGATGCAATTAGAGCGCTCACGTGAGCACAGCAGTGGGTCTGTGTCCTGTTTTTATTCTGCAGCAACCAAGACCTGTGCCAGACCGAGTCCACAGCAGAGGATCTCCCGCTCTGCGCGGTTTCCCCGTGACTCCCAATTTAGGGATCTAAATACGCTTCTGATTTCATCTTTATAATGGTTTCAAGCTCTTTTTGTACATCTTTTTGCTGCGTGGGGCACATGCCATCTGTCACGTCAGGCCCCGCCCACCTCTCTCTGAAGGTCCAGTTCTCGTCCCCAGGCTGCACCCTCCATCTACCCCCCTAGCGTGGGACATACTTCACTTCCCCCTTGGCCTCCGGTATTCTACCAATTTTGTTGTGGTCTGGCTCAGATCTGAACCTAATACTCAAATGGGGGGATATATTTAAATTTTAAAAAGTCATTTCAGATGTGCAAAAGGAGTTTGAAACCATTACAAAGAATTTCCCGACTCCCTTCACTCCGACAACCCAAGGGTTACCTGTTTCACCGCTCCTGCTTTATCATTGGTTTTATACCTGTCTAGAACCCGAGACATTTTACAAAAGTCAAGAACATTGTGAGGTACAGACATGATGTCCCTTTACCCCTTAATATTGCGAAGTGTGTTTTCTAAAAAATACATTTTCTTACATAACCAAAATATGTAGTTATCAAATACAAGACATTAACTATGATTCCACACCTGCTCTCTACAGACCTTGCTCAGGTTTCCCCGTTATCCCTCTAATGTTCTTATCGAGCCCAGGTGCTGATCCAGATCCCCAGGGCCGCATGTAGTCATCATTTCTCTGTAGTATCCCGTGAGATGAAGCGTTCCTTGGTCTTTCATGACCTTGACATTTGTGCAAGGGTACAGGCTGGTTATTTTGTAGAATTTCCTTTAATTTGAGTTTGATGTTTCTTTATGGTTAGATTAAGTATTTTTGGCAAGAATACTATAGCAGTAATGTTGTGTCCTTCTCAGTACATAATATCATGAGGCACATGCTACCGATTCATCCCATTACTAGTATGTTAACTTCTATCACTTGGTTAGGTTAGGATCTGTCAGATTTCTCTACTAAAAAGTTATCAATTTCCCTTTGTAATCAGTAAATATCTTCCAGAAAGTTACTTTAAAATGATGTAAATATGCAAAGTTTTTCAGTCTGTGCACATATCTGAATATCCACATTTTTATTCATTAATTTTAGTGTCTATAATTTTTAGCTTAAAACTATTATTTCAGTGGTGATTACCAAATAGTGATTATTATTTTTTATTATTATTATTTTAATATGTCTTAATTGATTTCAGAGAGAGGAAAAAAGAGGGAGAGAAAGAGAGAGAAACATCAATGATGGGGGAGTCACTGATCAGCTGCCTCCTGCACGCCCCCTACTGGGGATCGAGCCTGCAACCTGGGCATGTGCCCTGACAGGGAATCGAACTGTGACCTTCTGGTTTACAG